CCTTAGTAGAAAATCGCTTCCTGTCTCGTAAATTGCGACCAAAGTCAAAAAAATTGAATTTTTGGGCATAAATTTCCATGGGTTCCGTTTGTATTACAGAAATTTACGCCTCCAAAAATTTTCTGATGTTGTTGCAACAGAAATATTATCATCATCAACTTATCCAACAATAAGTGATGTACAATTAACTTTTATTGGTTTACTTTGAAATTTAGAATCTTTTATTCAAAATCAAAATAATTTAGAAGATTGTGTAATGGCCAATTCAATTAGTTATAAATTAAAAGAATATTGGAATAATGTAGAAGCATCAACAACAATTGATACTTTACTAGATTCATGTTCAAAAACAAAAACATTTCAAGATCATGATAAACATGATGGAGCAATTTCATTATTACGAAATCTTATGCCATTATATAAAATTAATGATCAAGTAAAAAATATTAGAATTAATATACAATCACAAGAAAATAAAAAATCATATTTTGAGTTTCTTTTTACTGATCAAACTTCTGATAAAAGACCTACAGATGATGAAATAACTTGATATATATCAGTACCTATTGATTCCAATATTAATCCACTAGAATGGTGACAATGTTTTAAAGAAGATTATCTAGTTCTTTCACAAATAGCATTATGTTATTTAAATATTCAAGGTTCTAATATACCTTCAGAACAAGCATTTTTTATAGCATCAAATACAATTACTAAGATTTGATATAATTTGAAATCAAAAACTGCATGTGCAATTATGTGCTTGAAAAGTTGAATTCAACAAGTACAAGATAAAAAAGAAAATGATAAGTTCGAAAATTCTTTTTTTTTTGGAATTTTAATAATTAATATAATAGTTTATTTGAATTGTTTTTTAATATTTTTAATATTTTTATTATTACAATATAAATTTAATCTAATAATATCATTTTTTTTAAACATTTATTAAAATGGTTGTACGTAAATTTATATTTAATAATAGATCTATGTGATCATGTTTATAATATAATCAAAATAATGAACATTTATTTTTGTTTATTTTTTTAAATACTTATTTACGTGAAGTGTTTATAATTATTTACGTGACTAAAAACTATATAAACACCTATTTTCTATAGGAGTGATGGTTTTTTAAGTTTTTTTTTTGAAAATTAAATTCAAGTTAATTTTTATTTTTATTAAAACTTTTGTAATTTTTATTCAATTTTAATTTTTAAACATTTAATAATTAAATTTGGAACCAAAATATATAATTGTATTTGAGATTATTATGTAAGTTTTTAAATTATTTCAATTTAAAAATCAGTATAATTTTTTTCACTTTTTTTAAATAATGATAATTAAAAGTTAAAATAATTAATTTAATTATAATTATTTACATCAAATAGTGATTTTGATAACCTGTAATCCAATTTTTGCATTTTTTAGCTCATTAGATTCCCCTCATCAAGGCAAACATTTTGAAAGTTGTTTCATCCAAATTGGACATCTCTATGTCATGTTATTAAATAAACACATGTTTAATCAATAATAAACCTCTTTTATAATTATCCACATCAAATAGAGATTTTAATAACCTGTGATCTGATTTTTGCGTTTTTTAGCTCATTAGATTCCTCTCATCGAGGCGAACATTTTGATAGTTGTTTCATCCAGATTGGACATTTCTACGTCAAGTTATCAATCAAAACAGTTTGTACATTTTTTACAGATTTTTTTAATTATAATTATTACTCCGTGGAGTAACCCGGAGCAACCCGGAGTAACCCGCGGAGTATTAACCCCTTGCTCCACTATAATATGAACCCAACCCAACCCGTTATGTTTCATTAACAACCCTAGTGTTCCCAGAATTAAAATTTTAAAAAATTTGTTCAGGTGATGCAATACTTTTGATCGCCACTGTATAAATTAGAAATTGTACCTCTTGGTGAACTATTATTATCTTCTTGTTCTTCTTGTTCTTTTCCTGCTTCTCCTACTTCTCCTTCGCTTTCTTCCTCCCAACAATTAGAAGATTTTAATCATAAATTAGAAATTTTATAAATATTATGAACATGGAGGAGCTGGTAAAGTGGGTAAAATTTCTCGAGAGAATATACAGTCAAGCCTCGCTATAATCACACCGTCGGGACCTAATTTTAAATATGTGATTATAAATAATTATGATTACATAGAGGTTTTTTTACATAGCGTTGTGATTATAAAAATTTCGATGATTATAAAAAGTTTTTTTATATAGCATTAATAGGTCGGGACTTGTGAAAAATGTGATTATAGAGAAATTTACTCTGGGTGATTATAGAGAGGCTAGACTGTAATAGAATTTTATCGTACTATGGTTTTTAACTCTACAATAATTATAATAACAATTATTACCATTTTTATAACTGTACTTATATATTAAAATACATATATTTAATTAATAATCAGTTTTAAATATAAAAAGTAATATTATGGTTTAAAATAATAACATAAATTACATAATTACATATTAATTGTATTCTAATTTATTAAAAAAAATTATTCTATATCCTATCTTTATTATAGTTCTCCGATTACTACATTTTCATTTTTCTTGCCATATAATGTAGGTTTCACGTTTCTCATTATAAATGCAGATATTAAACATAATATGCCCACAGGAATTAAAAATTTAAACGATATACTCAACGCATCCACGAATGCATTGATGACTTTCATTCTCATTTCATTAGATAAGGTTGGTAATAGACCAATTGGATCCGCTGATGGTAGCTCGCCAAGTATCGGCTCAAGATTTTTTATCATCTGATTATTAAATATTGTACCAAAAATAGCTATACCAAAAACTGCCCCGACTATAATGGATGTAAGAATTAGTAATTATTTATAATAATAATCAAATAAAAATATTAAAAATACTTAATAGTTAAGAATATAAAGAATACATACAGGTTCTGAAGAAAGATAACAAAGAAGTAACAGATCCCACATCTTTATGTTCCACAACGCCTTGTCCAGCTAAAATTGTGGTCTGCATAATAGTACCTACGCCAACACCAGCAATCAATAAGTATCCAATTTGTTTTCCACGATTTGAATTTTCGTCAAAGGTGCTTATCAATCCACTACCTACTGTTATCAATACTGCTCCAAATATGCAATATGCTTTATATGAAATTAATTCGGTGCGAGATGCCAATTGGCCTGAAAAAATTGATGCTATAACTACACCTAAGATTAGTGGTAAAAGTTCAAGACCAGATTCGGTTGCTTTTTTTTGAAAAAAAAGGAAAAAAAGTTAAACAAGGATAACGTAGGGCATCCACTAAAATTTGATTTATAATAAATTAAATACCAGTATCGCCTTTTACAATTTGATAAAATAATGGGACAAAGTAAGTTAACGAAAAGAATGCCATTCCCTGCCAAAAATTAACACTAAAACATGCAGCAACGGTTCTATTCCTAAATAACCTCCCTAAAAAAGATAATAAATTATACATATAATTATAATTTCTTTGAAAAATCGTCAAATCACAAAAAATGATTTCTTAAAAACAAAATTCTAACCTGGAGCAAGTGGTTCCTTTGCTACCCATCCTTCAATGTATGCAAATATAATATATCCAACACCACCGACACAGAATAACACAATGATCACTGGAGAATCCCATTCATATGTGTTTCCACCCCAATTTAATGGTAACAATACACAAACTGTTGAGGCGGCAATAAAAATGGTACCAAACCAATCTATACGTTTTAGTTTGTCAACTAGAGATCCTTCCGGATGTGGGAGGTGAAGAAACGCTATCACAAAAATAATTGCTATTGCTCCTAGTGGTAAATTAATGTAGAATGCCCATCTAGAAATAAAGAATAAAGAATAATACAGATTCACGTTTTTAAGAGAATTATTCCATTGGAAATAAAGAACAATGCAGACGACTTTATTACCTCCACGAAGCGTGATCGGTGAATGCACCTCCAAGAAGTGGACCAATAACTAAATTAATTCAAAGATTTGGTTTTTTTAGAGATTGATTCTTAATTTATAATTATATTTTGATATTAATTACCTGAAGAGATACCAAAAACTCCTCCTATCATCCCTTGATATTTTCCACGATCTTGTAATGATACGATTTCTGAGATTATTATTAATACAAGACCAAAGATACCGCCACCTCTAAAATATGATTGTTACCAATATTATAATCAAAGCTAAAAACTAATAAATAAACGAATCATATTTTAAAAAATAATTACCCTAAGCCAGCGATAGCACGCGCAATAATTAACATATCCTAGAAAGCAAAGAAAAGAATCATTTAAACTATTATCTTTTAAAATTTTTATGTTTGAAGTCTTTAAATTTTAAAAGATAATTACCATATTTGTTGCTAACCCACATAACAATGAACCTAATTCAAATAAAACGATAGCCGTCAAGAAAGTAGATTTTCTACCAAAAATATCTGAAAATTTTCCATAGGTCGGTTGAAATGCTGTCTAATAAATAAATTAAAAGCGAAATAATTATTTATTTTTATAACAATAACTTGAAAAAGTTGACAGTTTTCTTTAAGTCACGTGATTATAAGTAAATACATACCGCAGTAAGCAAATACGCGCTTCCAACCCATGAAATTTGATCCAAAGCACTGAAATCTTGAGCAATTTTTGGCCTGTATTAAAGAAATGGTGGCCAGTAAGTCTTGGAATATAATTTTTTAATAGAAATAATAGAGAACGAATTTCTTAAAAAGACATACAAAGCTGTAGCAACAATGGTCTGATCTAAAGCGGCCAAAAGAATACTCAAGGCAAGACTTTCCAAATTCAAAATAGATAATTTAATAATTGATATACAAAAAAATTTGATTGACCAATTTCAAGTAGTTCGCAAGTTACCCACCCCAGGAACGCCAATAATACTTTTGATTTTGACATTTGAACTTTTGGCACTGTAGGATCTATAGATACTTTTTCATTATCTGGTGCTAAAGTAACATCTCTATCTTTATTAAATGAATCTGCATTCTGTTCATCCGAAATATTGACAGTTGTTGACGTGACGTTTTCAGCCATTGGCAATTTGAATTGAAAAACTTATTTTTCTTACGTTCATAAAATTTTATAGTTAATTTAGTTATTTTTTTTAAAAAATAAAAAAAATTCACGATCTTATTCTCAAAAAAACATTCGAAATAGGATGAATGAATCCTGAAAATTTTGGATCCTGTAATCCATCCTTTTATTAAAGGTTCTAACCGCTCGGTACGAAAATTAACCGATAAAGTCGAACGAAAAATTTTAAATAATGTTCCACAAGCATATAACTAGGTAAAATTTTTATCCGTTATACATCGTTATACATGAACTGTTTATAATTAGCATTAGCATTCAGAACAACCAAATGAAATTAGCAATTAATAACAAAATGACAAATAAGATTTCATATTTTATATTTTATAGATTAGAGGAATTTCGGAGTTTTATTAAGATCGGCACAAATTCGGAAATTAGTATCAGAGATTTACATATCAATAAACTTCAGTAGTGCGTTCTGGATTGTCGGAAAATTTGTTTACGCCAGTGCCGTAATTAAATTTTGTTTACATTATATAAAAAGGAATAATGATGGCGATCAATTGTAAGAAAAACATTCTCTACGCCAAAATTCAAAAAGGAAATTGCAACAATAAATGCTCTTGTCAATATAGAATTTCGGCACAATCTCTGATCACTCCCAATTAAATTTACTTAGACTAAAGCCATGTCCATCACGAGATTTTCCGTTGACTATGGCCAATCAAATTTTTGGTTATACGGATCGGCCTGACGATACAAAAAAACGAAAAATACAAGAAACGGATGTCTAAACATATCTTGGTTCATTAAAAAAAGTGTCGGGAGACAATTTTACATTTACCATCTAACCTACACTAATCCAACCCGGCCCTCGTTCTAAAATTAATTAATTTCGCGTAATCACATGATGGACATCGAGATTTAAATCGTAATTTACTATTAAAATCTCAGTATATTTTTAATACATCAAAATCAATTATTTTATAAAAATATAGACATTAAGTATAATAAATATAAAAATTATACAAAAATATATTGCAAAAAAAAATAATTGGGAATGTAATAGAAAATCTTTTATAATATAAATATTACCTTCCGCGAATAAATATAATAAATTTTGACTAGTTGTAATCACTAAAAATACAAATCTGAATTACACCTTTCTTAATAAAAAAATTTCCTAGATTAACTACTATATATGTCCACTCTTAGACATCCATCGTTCTATTCTTCCTCCTTCTTCTTCTATAGGTAAATGTTCTTCAAGTTTCTTCCATTTCTTCCATGGTTTTATTTTATCAACTCCACCCTCATTTGATTTTCTTGACAAAAATTTTAGGACACGTTTAAATTTCTTGTCATATCGATCTGGAAAATGATGGAATAACCAATTTCTTCTTAAACTAAGATCTGTGAATAAATCCGGTTTAGATTTTTCACATACTATATCTTTGGTATAAAAATCCAAAAAAGGTGATCTAACGTGTCCTTTGTATAGATAATATATAGTTCCTGGAATATAAAGTTTACGTTTTGATGATTTCGATTTCAAGGAAGTACGATAAGAATCAATAGATGATATTATTTTTGCAAATTGTTCCTTTGAATTTAGCTTAATTGAATTAAATTAATAAAATTTTTCATATGTCAGCAAATGTCAGCAAATGTCGGCAAAACATAATATATTCTCTAATTCTAATCATACCTTTTTATAATTTTCATTTTTTAATTCACTAGCTGCGAATTTTACCAATTCCTTAAAATCCATTAGATTTCCATAACTTAAACGTGGTATTATATCATTTTCATTTACAAAATTATCAATACATCCCAATGCTTCAGAAGTACACGCGATATCAAGCGAGCAGCAAGGTGCAGTTGCAAAATTCCATGCACGGATATCAACTCCTTGTTCAAGTAAATCTTTGCATTGTTCATGTAAGAATATTGTCACCAATGCGGATACTGATGCTCCCAATGAATGTCCTATCACTCGAATAGAATTAGAATTAAATTTATTCACTGCTGCTTTAATTTCAGTCAGGGAATGGTTTACGAGATATCGAGCGCTACGAAATATCCCACGATGAACAAACCCCCCGTTCCACGGTTCATAATGTGCCAAAGCATCAGTTATTACGTCGGCAACATTCTATAAAATTTTTGAAATTTAATAATAAGTTTCATATATTTATCTATTTTCAAAAATAAACACAGAATTACAAAATCACAGAATGGATCCATATTACCATAGTACCCCTAATTGATATTATAATTGCATTTGTCTCTGGATCTCGAATCACCATATAATTTGGAACAGATACAGTATTTAAACCATATTCCCAGCATATTATATCATTCTTTTCGAGTCCAAAGAAATCTTGAACTGCCTTACGATCTGAATTCATACGGATAGCATCTTAATAAAGAAAGAGAATAGATTAGCATCTAATTAGTAGCGCGATATCTTAAAATACATAAATTAATTTATACTTAATGGAGCCATGTTGTGACCATATCCAAACCAATTAAATAAGAAAGAACCCTATTATATAGAAAGTTATATAGGAGTTTTACATAGAAATAGGTCAGAAAATATTAAATATATATATATATATATATATATATAGAGCATTATACATTATGCATTATTAAATACAAACATATGATGCCATTGAATATTTCAAATATTTTTGTGCTGTTTGTATTTTTTCCACATCATAAATTAAATTTCCAGTCACTGGACTTTCGCAAAAAAATAATAAAAATAATAATGGTGAATAAATATTTAATAAATATGATCATTTACTTGAATATTTAGACATTTAATGAAATTATCTTACTTTGACTTTTGAAGATAATATTTTTCAAGCAACATATATGCTTTCAAGAATTCCAACTTGGTCAGCCTCCAACCACTGTCAAAAAATGTGTGATAAAGAACGGTAATTTCTTTAATCGCTTCTCTAGTCTCTTTACTTAGAACTAGGTCAAGTATGCCTGACAGTTTTGTTTCTGGATATGATACCACAATAACATTTTCTAGGTCATCAGCATTAGCATTTTCTAGCTCATTAAGACCGTCAAAATTAATTGGAACATTCCTGGAAGACGTTTTTCCGCTAAAAATGTCACGGTCAAAAATGGCTTTGGGATGTACATTCGATGGCTGAGATTTTGTAGGTGATAAATTTGGAAAATGGAACTTAATATTTAATACAATAGAACCAACTTCCCGTGTATTTGAATATCCATTATCCTCTAAAGGAAATTTTCTGTTTTTATCAAAATGAAATTAGTTCTATTAATTCTTTTTAACAAATATAAATCATCAACAACTTACCCTTCAAATTCCTCTTGATTACTTATGGCTTGCTTAAATGTATTTAAACGAATATTTGTTCGGCCTAGTCTTTTCTTGGTATATAAGAAAGACCCATAGCCATAAACATCCAATTTTAATGTATCAAACGCATATGAATGATAATCAAAAGGAAAACAAATCATTTTTTGTGAAAGTTCTTCGATGGATGTACTTGGCTTTGTATGATGAGACACTGAATGAATGACAAAGCGGATTGAAGTTCTAGTTTTGGAATCATATAGTCGTGGTGGGTTAAACTCTATTGACTTTACACGAACTAACATTTTATCTACTCAAATTTATTATATAATTATACAATATATTTAATATATTTAATTTTTGTTGGAGAAAAGTCATTCAAATGTATCAATTACCTGGAAAGGTATTAAAAGTTTCAAAAGAATCCACTATTAATAATAAAGTAACAAATATAACATTAAGTATTGGAATTCCTTAAGCAGTTAAGAGAATTCAAATGAAAACGAATTGATAAATATTGGTAATTATAGACTCACGGGAGGATACGGGACTAGGTAATTGATCTTCATCTTCTTTAGAGAAACCAAAAATTTTATGTCAGTAAATATTCCTTTTGCAAAAAAAAATGATGCGTCGAGTTTCGTTTCTTTATAGATAAAAAAATGACGCGCCAAATTTTTGCTTTCTTTGTCAACTTATTTAAATTTAATGATAATACCTTGACTAATAGAACCATTATGTTCAATTATTGATAAAGATGTGTTAACACTTAGTTTCGTTTTCTCTTCTATTAAATATCATTATGTTTGAAAAAATAACATTAACAAAAAAATTCAAAGTTCTTGCTTTTTCATTAATGAAATAATTAATATGTTGAAGCACACCTTGAAATGTTTTGACAGAACCGTTTAAAATTTGGTAAGACTTTTCATCCTTTTTAATTTTTAAATCATCGCCACTAAGATTTATGTTTAGATTATAGATTCTTCTAGAATTATAACTTAGAACTTTTTTAGGACTAAAACTTTTAAAATTATTTATACTAGTAATTGTGTAACTATTTGAATAGACTTTACTATCAATTGCTCGTCTGTTCTGGGTTTGACATGTCGAAGACCAATCAAAATCACGCCATGCCTTTTCATGATCTTCCTCTGCATGATCAATATCATCATTATCTGACCCTTCGATTGATAAATTATCTTCGCTGGAATAATCAGAAGTAGCATCTGAAGAGTAATTTATTTCATCTTGAGATTCCTTTGAAGTATCTGAAACTTTATGTGGCAAATAAAGCATGTCAGCTTTATTATTGGAAAGTTCATCAACATGATTTTCTAGTTCATTTATCATTGTCTGAGTTTCCGGCTCAAAATTTGAATTAGACAATGAGCTTGCTTTCTGTGCGTCTTCTGAAGGAAGGATAAAATTAGTTGGTTGATTAATTAAAAGAGGATCATTATCGAATGACAGGGTTTGTGAAAATTTATTTGAAAAAGTATCATTTTGTTTTATATTTTCAATTTTTGACCCCTCTTCTAAAGGTGCCATTTTTTTTTCATTTTTTTGCACAAAAGGGATAATACATTAATATATTCGAAATAAACGGTCGTACGATACTGCACAACCGAATGCCATGTGATATATTCTCAAAATAACCATCACCTTTTGGTTATCTTTATTACATTCTAAAAAAAACAAGTTCACGTTCGACATTATAATTTATTTCTTATTTGGTAAGACGATAATTTCTCTTTTTGTGCATTATAAAAACAAAATGAGTTAATTGGTACGATTACGGATCTAAAACTGAGAATCTTACCCAGTAATAGCTAACAATAATTGCTGATCTGCCCCAATGATACAATTATGATCTGCACACAATATACGTGGCGCATATTCCATAAAAAAATCTGTATTAGGAATTTTTTTTGAATAAGAAACTTCTAATTTCAAGGTGTTTGATAAACTTGTTACAAATAATTTACAATAGGAACCTAGAAATAAGGAATTTATTTATGGAAAAAAATATATTTCTCAATTTTCTGAAATCATGAAAATTAGAACAAATATATACCTTTTATAACTGAGTGAATAGTTTATATGATTTATTATTGTGTTATTAAATTATTAACAAATTTATATTATTTGTTTTCACTTCAAACCTTTTACATTCTTTATAAATTCCTGTTAATTACCTGGAGTCAAACATCTTTAACTTTTTTTATTGTTTTTACAACAAAAGTGATAATAAACAATTTTTGATAAGGATAATTTTGGAAAATTTGTAAATGATTATGAAATCCATTATCAATTTTATCACATAAAATTGAAAAATTTTTTATTAATTTTTAGATGAACTTCTTTCATTAATAATTATCAAAAATAAACAAATTGGTTAAATTGTCTATTCTTAATTTATATTGAAATTCAAATATTATATTGTCTGTAAAAAAATAATGTAAAAATCTAAACACAATTTTTCATAGATATTTTCTTTAAACTGGAATAACTTTGCGAATATCAACACTACAGGAATTAAACATATACTATTTGATAGTCAACAACAAGGTCATTCTATTTGTCTTAAAAATATCTTAGTAAAAATTATTCTATATTATACAAATAGAATGAAATTAAAAAAAAAATAAAAAAAAATATTAAAATAAAAAAATATCACATGGATGATCTGATTTTTAAACTGGATTATCTGTAGTATCTAGATGAAACTGGATTATATAAAACCAGTTCTAATTTCTAGTAATTACACAAATGTTAATTAAAAATAATTTTAGTGATCAAATTTGCTTACTAGATAATTTAAGAAATAGCATACAGTAAATATAAATAATATAAATTATAATAAATTGTATATTTTTAATGATAATAGAAATATATATATATAAATACATTTAATAAAAATGTTTAAGCAAGTCAAAATATACTTTGAATTTGAAAAAAAAAAAATTATTTTAAAAAATATTAATATATTTTAATAATTAATATTTTATTTATTTCATATTTTATTTACTTTCTATAAATAAAATAATTTCAATTTATGTTAAATTTTATTAAATATAGGTAGTTAATTTATTTTTATAAATATCATATATTAGCTAAAAACAAGTAAGAAGATTTGTTGACTATTAAATTTTGTTGATTTTTTAATTATTTAATATGTGTTGTTGACTATGATTACCTTTACTAAACATGATTAACTAATAACTGATAACAGGAAAACGATTGTCCAAATGATCACAAAGTAATTGGACGAATATGTTATAGTTGGAAGGTTTTATACTTGAAGAGATATAAGGTGTAAAGGATTTGATGTTACGGGTTTGTTCGAAAGTGGCTAAGGTGTAAGGTTTTTAAAGGGGTATGAGATTTTTATACTAATTTAACAGATATTTACAAAGAATATTATTAGTTTCATACAGAAACTACAAGAATTTACACAGAATTATTATAATTAATCAAGATCATGAAACAAGGTTAATTATAATCAAAATAATACTGAGATCACAAAGTAGGATATTATTTATCAAAAAGTATTTCACTAAAAAATCAAAAGTTTCAAATTATTATTTGTCACAAAAACTTTTATTAATAATTTATTACATATATTGAGTTCAAAATGTATTCAAGTTCTAACTGTCCTAGCTCTAAGGACAAAAGTTACCTCTATTTATACAAAATTGCTATCCTTTCGTGAGACTATAATTACTAATCTCAAGAAAATTCTAGAAATTTCTATAATATTCCGGAAAATTCTATAAGCTATTTTGACTAATGAATTATTTGTGCTAGAGATGTTTATCAGAAGTGGTGACCAGAGGTGTTAACCAAAGATGTTAACTAGAGGTGTCGACCTCGCATTATAATAAAAATAATCTATATCGGTTACTTGTAAATAATAGTACTAATATATAATATTATACAAATAAAGAAATCTAGCTAATAAACTAATATAATAATACTAATAAATAATATATATAAAAATTAAGAAATAAGGCTAACAGTGTTAATTAAAAAGATTTAAGTTTAATAATAGATACTGATCAAATGCTTATAAATTTTTAAATATTCTTTATATAAGTTGTATTATAATTAACTTGATTGATTTATTTTTTTATAAAATTCTATTATATTATTATTACATTTTTTTTAATTTCTAATATTTGATATTATATAATATAATTTTTATATTCAATAAAATATATATTTATTTATTAATAAAAATTTGATTTATTTAAAAATACTTGATAAGAAACTGTTAATACAAATATTTTTGAAAGAAAATATAATCAAATTCTATTATCTTTTAAAATAATTAATATTTTTTTTTAACAAAAGCTATAGTAATTTCAATTTAATAATAAAAAAATTACTTTACTATATTGTTATCAAATTTTTTAAAACTATATCTACAGATCTATTATATAGTATAATTCTTTTCAAATAAAAAATTATTTTAAATATTACATATATATTTTTTTCAAAATTATTTCTGTTGAATAGTTTATATAATAACAAATCATTTTATAAGTTTCAGTTAGATATATAATGTTTCTAATAAGTTAGATTAATCTAAGTTAATCTGTATAACTCAATTCAAGATACAAATCGAATTAAGTTAGAGTCAATAATTTTTAAACTTGAAAATTAACTAGAATTTATAGATATCACTTGATCTTAAAAACTATAGTTTTAAAAAATACTTAACATATTAATACATATATTTAATTAATATCATAACTGTAATTTTACATTAGTTTTTGAGATATTTGATAATAAAATATTTTATAAATATTAAATTATCTTGAAAGTCATTGTTTTAAAAAATTTAATATATTAATAAAAATTATTTTTTATATAATTTTATATAAATTTTATTTATTAGTTTTTGAAATATTTGATAATAAAAATATTTATAAATATTTTACAATATTAGATTAATAGTTTTTTGAAATAATTTATATATTTTATATAGAAAAATTTTTTAAACTAATTCAGAAATTATTGTTATTAATTCAAGAGTTATAATTACTAATTCAAAAATTAAGATTATATAATTTAAAGTTAGAATTATATTTTTTGATTTGATTTAAGAGTTAAGGTTATATCTTTAGACTTAAGTCAATTTGAAAATTTAACTTGTTAGGAACATTAGAACTTCTTTAGTATTATTAGAATTATTTTTATTTTCATATGTTTAAATATATAGATTAAGGTTAGATTTGTCAAGAATAATATATTTATTATACTATTTAAATATTAATTTTTATTAAATATTTTAAAAATTTAGAATTTTTTTTTATATAAAAATTATATTTGTCATCTAATATTTGTCACATTAAATTTGTCATATAAACTTAATATCTAATGTATTTCTGATCACTTGTTAAATTATAGACCAATAAACTTTTAAAATTTACATAAAGTAAAAACAATTTTGATAATGGAGTTCTTCCCGTCAATCACTTGTACCAAATATTCCCACAGTAGAGAAATACGATTTTTCACTGTAGTTACATATAAAACTTAGTTATTTTT